TTTGCAATTTGCAAATGAAAACCGAACTACCACCCTTGGCAGTACGAGTCAAGCAGGTGACAGCCGGTCTCCTCGCCAAAATCTGTAGATCAGATAAGCCCACAGCTGCCAAAATTCGAATCAGTGTCTCCCTCCACCTCGACCACAGAGTGCGAGGGGCCACCTGGTCGCACGAGGCAAGCGAGGTCATCCGACACCTGCAAGCAGAAACACTCGTCAAGAACAACCAAGACATACGAGACAATGGTTACGTAGTTCCTCCACCATGGAGCCCTCCACCAGCTACATTCAAAATTACCGACCTAGGCGATAGTAAAGCCAACCTCCAGAAGGAGGACCCCAAAAAAATAACTCTGGAAGCCATAGCCACCGAGACACCGGCTGATGCAGCATCGTACTTCACAGACGGCTCGGTGGATCCAAAACATCATACATCCGGAGCGGCCTTCTACACCCAAGGTCAGACCCTCCGATGGAGACTTTCTAATGACTGCTCCACCCTACAAACAGAGTTGGTAGCAATCTCAAAGGCCCTACAACACGCTGCAACACAACACAACAAGTCCATCATAATTCACACGGACTCGAAACCGGCCATGCAGGCGCTGCAACACAGTCAACCAAGAGACAACGCCCACATCATAACCTCGATCCTCGCACAGCTACAGGAATTCCAAAGACAAAACCGCCCAGTCGTCTTACACTGGATTCCCAGTCATGTAGGGATCGGGGGAAACGACGTGGCAGACGAAGCAGCCAAGGCAGCCACACGTTCTAGTAGCGTACACATTCAAGTTCCAGCAAGCGTGCAACAGATCAAGAATCACCTCAGAAAGACTAGCAAGCTCCACATCAAAAAGAGCTTCCTTCACGCATTCACCGCTGGTTCCCAATCAGCCAAATGGTACCTGGCGGCTACAAAAGGGGAACCACCTTTCGCTGACAAGAAAACACTAAGACAAACCCAAGTCAGCCTTCATCGACTACGACTAGGGTACAAGTGCTCCTGGCAGATGATCGGAAATGACGTCATGGAATGCACCTACTGTCAGGAGCCAGCAGCCAACCCGCTTGAACACTATCTCCTCGACTGCGAAGTCACACAAAGCCTCCGAAACAGAGTTCAAATCTCCCAAGAAGCACACACAACACCAGCGGCCACTCTAACCCGAAAGGCCCATACAGACCACATTCACGACCTTCTCCGGGTCATCACACGATACCCACCACCCAGATAGCTTAGAAAGTATCCTCTCCCAACAAGTGCGGACCCCAGTTCGGGGGGCACGCCACTCCGAAACTGACCACGTCCAAGAGTGGGGGTTGGTGGTAAGCGTCCACTGATCGGGGGTCCGCTCACACTTGCAACCTGCAGTATCCTTCCAGTCTGCAGGTGGGATCACCTCCAATCCCAATCCGGTCTGGCTGCTCCAGCCGGAACCACCAAACGGGCCGCCTATAGGCAAAGGCCCGTGTCGGACTACGGTCCGACAATCTCAACAACAACAACAACGGTGACCTGTCTCTTTCTACCTACACCAACTAGCCAGTAACGAGCCCTCCTCCTCCTCCGCCTGTCTGGCGGTCCTCACTCCCGCCGGCGAGCATGGCGACCCACAAGCTGGTCCTCCTCTGAGCATCCTCACCAACCAGCACTCTCTACATCACTTTTACTTTACTTTTATCCTCTTCGCCACTGATCGGCTTGTTAGCCGCTTGGGCGATCGGTCACGTCTCTTTTCATTTATATTCTTCACCAAAAGATCGGCTCGCTAGCCGCCCGGGCGATCGGTCACGTCTCTGTCACGCACTGTTGGCAAATACTGGGCATGCACCGGCTCCTGAATGTACCTGAACCCGCTCCAGTGTTGGTCAAGTCTTCTCTTGAAAGAGCTCACACTCGGTGCCGTCACAACACTCTCTGGTAGATTGTTCCAAGAGTTTACAACCCTCACTCCGAAAAAGTTTGCCCTCACGGTTTTCTGGACTTGCGGCTTCTTCAATCTTGAGCTTGACCCCGAGGCGTCCGCCAGCTCCAAGTAAGGACACTCAACTGAGTAGTGCCCCTGAGATGCTTATACACCTCAACCAGGTCCCCCTGCCCGTCTGTAGTATAAGCTAGGCAAGTTCAGGCGCTCCAATCTCTCAGGGTAGCTGAGGTGCCGAAGTGCAGGCACCAGTCTGGTGGCCCTCCTTTGAACATTTTCAACCAACTGACAGTCCCTAGCATATCTCGGGGACCAGATGGGGTGACAGTACTCCAGATGGGGAAGCACTTCACTCCTGAAGATCGTCACGAGGGACGGACCGTCTAGATATCTGAACGACCTTCTTATAAGACCCAATAATTTATTTGCCTGATTTACCTTCTTCTCACAATGGCCCGAGAACTTCAGCTCATTGTCAACATACACACCTAGGTCCTTCTCACACACAGTCTCAACTAGTGCATTTTCTTCATCCTGTTGGGACATATGATACGCCTCCTTACCGTTGGTACGCCCCAGGTGCATCCTCTTACACTTCGTGACATTGAATCTCAGCAGCCATTTCTTCGACCATTCCTGGAGCCCACAGAGGTCCTTCTGCAGCTCTTCACAGTCCGCTTGGTTCTTAATTTCCCGAAATAACTTGCCATCATCGGCAAACATTTGTATGGAGGAGTGTACAACGTCAGGCATGTCATTTATGAAACAAACAAACAACAGCGGGCCCAATACACTACCCTGCGGTACCCCACTTGTTACAGGTACAGATGACGATTTCGTGCCATTAATCACCACACACTGCTTGCGGTCATGTAGAAAGTCTTCTATCCACGCGAGGACATTTCCCCGAATTCCGTACCCTTCCAGTTTGATTTTCAGCCTTTCGTGGGGTACACTGTCGAAAGCCTTGGCAAAATCTAGGTAAATATTGTCGATATTACCACCCCGTTCTAGAATATGGGTCCAAATATCCAATACCTTGAGCAATTGTGTCAAGCAAGAGCGCCCCGGCATAAAACCGTGTTGGCAATCTTTTACAAGGTTGTTTCGTAGTAGATGTTCCATCGCGGCATCTCTGATAATACTCTCAAGTACTTTACATATTATGCTGGTCAGGCTCACCGGTCTATAGTTGTTCGTGGAGTGACTATCGCCCTTCTTGAAGATAGGACTCACATAAGCCACTTTCCATTCACTGGGGACCATTTGTTCATCCAGGCATTTACAAAACAGAATCTTCAGGGGCTCTGCAAGCTCGTTGCACAGCTCTCTTAGCACTCTAGGATGCACCATGTCAGGTCCGGGACTCTTATGGACCTTTAGCCTGGACAGTTTATTTCTAATACCCTCTTCTGTGAACACAATGTGGGTCAGTGCTGTGTCGAACCGTCTGTCCTCAAACGCAGGAAGGTTAGTTGCATCCTCTCTTGTGAACACTGAGGAAAAGAAGCTGTTCAATGCCTCAGCTTTATCCTGGTCAGAATCTGCGTAACTACCATCTTCAAGCCTCAGGTCTGATACTCCTACTCGCGTTTTCAATTTCGACTTTGCATAGCGGTAAAACGCCTTTGGGTTTGACTTGACCTCGCGTGCAACCAGCCTCTGGAACTCCTTTTCAGCCCTCCTACACTCTATCTTTGCTTGGTTTCTGGCTCTTGCATACATCCTCCTGTCTTGCTCATCGTTTGACCCAACCCACGTCTTGAATTTCTGGGTTTTCTTCTTAATTTTGTCGACCGCCGCATGGTTCATGTGTAGGGATCCCCTCGTATTCCTAGAAGCACTGGGTTTGGTCGATCAAATGGGTCATTTTACTAGTTATGATATTCAGCGTAGTGTCTGCGTTCTTGTACCTTAATAAGTCAGGCCAGTTGATACCCCTCATCTCTTCCCTCATCCCATTGTAATTTCCCTTGTAATATTTGCACCTTGGCCTGGCCTTATCTTGAACTAGGTAACAGTTAAATCTGAATGACAACACTATATGGTGACTGGTGCCAACTGGGGCAAGGTGTTCCAGTTTGGCCACCATACCCTCCTCGTTTGTTATGATGAGGTCAAGTGGCTTGGGTGTTTGCTCCCCTCTGTAATGTGTCGGGTCTCTCACATGTTGGAACAGAAAATTATCTCTCAGAGTTTCTACAAAAAGAGTAGCAGGATTATTCAAGTCATTCGGGGTGGACTCGTTTCTCCAGTCGATGTCGCCATAGTTAAAGTCCCCCATGATAAGGAGGTGGCTGGGGTTGAGCATTGCTTGTAACCATGCTGCCTTCCCAGTACCAAGCTGCATTGTACATCAAATACAACATGTATACAGAGAGCACATTGTGAGTTTCCTTTCTCCATTCCATCCTGAGTGTGAACCAAACATCCTGAACCCAACAGTGTCTCGCATGAAATACAAATAAAGGGTCTTACACTAAAATCTGATTTTACTGTCTGCAGTTATCGTGTCTAAATAAATTGAAATTATTTTCCTCATTTAAAAAGTGATCATAGGATGATGTTCAAAATAAATAACGCACCTAATGTTATGGAAAAATCAATTGAAGATAAATGATGGCAAACGAGCTGGTAAACAGTACAAAATTGTGTACATGATGCCCCGACCGAAATATTTTGAAATGGGTTTCATATACAGTTCTGCTGAGGCGAAAACAACTTCCATTGTGCATATTTAAAATTGTATCAACGAAATATTGACAAAATTTATAAAATATAAAAAAGAATCTAAAATATAATAAAATATAATAAATCACGTCAGTGTTCGATCAGTAAAGAACACAAATTGAAAAGACCGCGACGAGGTAAAAATGAAAAGATACCAATAATTGTTTATTATGCCAGTTTTCCCTCGCCATTTCACTTGATTCATGGCTAAAACTGCATTATAAATGTATATTGATAATAAATTCATTAAATTCTTATCCATGAGATGACGTTATTAATAAAAAATATTATTATTTTGTTATTATTTTTTAAATCAGCTTGGCAGCAATCTCCTGCGTAGCGAAGCGAGTAATCATCTTATGCGGTAGCGTCTATTCGTTAGCATCCAAGGACAACAGTGAATTCTTTGGAAAGTACATATAAGTGAAGAAAAAAGCTCACCATTACTATTTATCAGAAAATATACTTGCTCAATGAGGCGAATGAATGATTTAGGCGTAAACAGAGTAAATGTGGTGCGTTGTGTGAAGGGTTTGTGGGTGCGGGTCAGGGTTGGCGGTCGGCGACAGCGACAGCGCGAGTCGGGAACTTGTGAGCTAAAGCTTGGCGGTCTTTGTTCCAGCACCACACTCTCCCAGCTACAGTAATCCCTGATTCATTTCTTAGGCACAGTAATTAGTACCCGTGCATTGTGGGGCGTGTGGAGTTCACAAATGTTGAATAGTGGCGAGTTTAACGAGGAAAACATTTTATAATTAAAATCATAGAAGTGAAATGTAAATGGAGTGTGTGGGAATTCTAAGCTAAATATCCCGTTCGGGAGAACAGGATCCGGCAGAGTTTGTTGTAATTTGCAGCTTCAGCAGTGTGATACTGGTGGGGTAGCTGACAGATTCTTCAGCATCATGCCTGCTGTAAATGGAACGGTAAGCAACAAAGATTTTCTTAGCTCTTCAACGTGTTTTATAAAATTTCAATCTCCCATTTCATTCTATACATGTTTTGTTGTCAGAATTAAAAAAAAAATATTACATGGTATTATTTATCATACCTTAGTTGTAAATAAACATTTGTTAGGTCATGATAATTGTCGTTTAAGGGTCAGTAACTATTTTCCTGATTTTTGCAAGGAAAGTCAAGCTTTGGTTCTGTTCAGTATTGTAACATTGTGGTTTAAATTAAATAGAAAATGGAATTACTGGGTGTCTTTAACGCTTTCACATTTATAAGTTATTATCATGATTTACTAAACAGGTGTTCAGTTTATAGTATGGTTGGCTGGGTGTGTAATAAATATTGTTGTGCCGGTTTGATTGTCAACTGTAGTGAAGCGCGCCACTTACTAACGGTTGCGGGACACGAACAACAATGCATATTTAAATGAAACAATTATAATTATTTCAGAGTGATATTTAATCTTAAGGGGTTGTAACAGAAGCGTCATAGCTCGAAACATAGTGCCTGTTTACGCGAGACGTTGTTGTTCTCTAAAACAAGAAGACATGTTGTGCACAGTCCCGATGTGTGGCATGGGTGTCACGTGACTGGCAGCGGCGGCGCTCATTGGCTGCCTCAGACTGGCGGCGGCGCTCATTGGCTGCCTCAGACTGGTGGCGGCGCTCATTGGCTGCCTCAGACTGGTGGCGCCTAAAATTTCAAGTTCAAAATAGCCAGCTGGACCTAGGCATGGGGTTACAGGTCACGCCCCCTCCTTCGCTTTTTGCTCACTCTGGCGACTGTTTAAGGAGACCATAGTATATGTTGTGCATTAAATCTCTTATAAGATGCTGTTCAGCCAGATACCACTACAGGTGTGCCATTGAATACTGTTTTTGTACAGGAGCCAAGGTCAACTTGGGTTAATATTGCAGATTACAGCAACCAAATGTAGTACCTAACCTAACGTAATGTAATATAAGTAAATGATAATAGAAAAAATAATTAAATCCATTGAGTGTCGTGAATTTCCGGGATTCAGAGGTTGTTGTTTACTTCAATATTACCCAACTTGGATGTGGGTGACTTGAGATTTGGTCTGGACAAAAAAAAAAAAACATGGACAGAAGCCCTCAGTAAAAGTGCAAAATAGGCTAGGTTATTGGAGTCTTTTGATATAATGTAATATTTTATATAGTGGATATTTTGCCATGACCGGCTAAGTTCCTACTAACGCTGTTTTACCATGAGTGCACTCTGATCGGCCAAGTACCCTCTCTTAATATGACAGGGGGTCCGACTCCCGCCGAGGAAGTTAGATAAGGTTAGGTAGGTTTCTTTGGTTGGTTAGGTCAGATTTTAGTAGTCTCCTTTTATAATAAGATCATCTGCGGAAAAAATTACCCAAATCGAACAACAATTGGTTAGGTATGTTTATAGCTACACAACGATTGACTAGTGGAAAAATTTATGCCTAATTCTGTCAGAGTCACGTTCACATCGTTCTTGCGTTGTTTGTCGGTAATGGGCGATTAGCCAATCAGAGCGCACTCATGGTAAAACAGCATTAGTAGTAACTTAGCCAGCTATGGCAAAATATCCACTGCCACTTTTATATTGTAAACCAACCTAACCTAAAATGAATGGTAAAATTTCACTTGTTGCCACTATGCAAAATCGAAGTTGAAAATAGTTTTTCTGGTAGTTTTTGATGTATTATGAACGAATTTGACCATTTCTGGTGTAAATCAATTGTTAATGAAATTAGCCCCCTCCCATCACAGAATCTAGAGATTTGCTGTAAAAATCAAGGTAAAAAGTGTTAAAAACATTGAACACCATTGGAAAAACAAAACCCAAGCCAACTTAACCTAACAAGTTAACTGGTACGAGCTTACATAATAAAATGTTAAACATCGTTTCAGAAATGCCATTGAAGAAAAGTATCTTAGAATTGTCAAAACTACTGATTGCAACTAAAATTCCCTTGTTTCGTTTAGTGGCAACAAGTGAAGTACCTGTAATACAAAATGAATAACCTAATTAGCAGTGGAGGGTCCAGGAACTGGCTCAAGAGGCTGAAGTAAAAACCTATTGGTTGAAAATGAAACAATACAAAACAGGGCTTAAGGGCCAAAAAAGTGAAAGTTAACAGAAATTAAAAATAGAAAAGAAAAATATATTAATCTACACCAATATTATTCCATTAGTGACAATAATATAAGTGATTATATTTTGTTAATAACAATGAGATAAAGGAAAGCTTTAATTTATTTACCCAATAACCACTGGGTAAACACTGGCTCCTCAACTTACAGTAGTAAAGAGACATGGTTTTTCTAGAGGTGTTTTTTACGCTCTATTGATAATTTTGGTTTATGTTTCGTAGAGACCATGCATGGAACTTTATATTGATTCTTATATCGGGATATAGAACAAAACAAAATAGGCACCGGATACTGTATGGGTATGGCAGCTGTATGCAAAACGTCAATGTCTATTGGTACTGCAGCCGTATACACATGCGTGGTGCGCAGACCATACAAGAGTTACTGAGATGGCCTTCTTTGTGACTAACCTAACTATTAGCAACACAGTCTGTCGCTATGGCTGTAGTACCTACTGTATATTCAATGTGATTTTTGGCGTATGGCAATTTTTTTTTTTTATACTTAGATTTCTGGTGTCATCCGCGAATAATCGAAGGCTGCGAACTGTAAGGGCATGCTGTATTATGTTATTTCCTGTCTGAAAATTCAGTATTCAAATGATTTTCAAGGAACCTATCTCATTTGGATAGCAAGGGATGTCCATACGTAGTTTGGTTTTCTCTGGACTTTCTAAGTTCATCTTATTCCACACTTGATGTGTTGTTGGAGTTGCCTAATTTCATAGTCTTTCTATTAACTAACTCTTTTGTGTGGTCATTGTTAGTTATTAAAAGTTCTTTCATATCTAAGTTTTAGTCATTTTGGTATTAAAATATAACAAAGTGTTCGTATTAAAAACGAGAGATTAAAGTATTTTACAATGCAGTATAGCTACTGTATGTACATATGGCAGCTACCAGATGAAAACAGTTTACTCTATGTATGTACTGTATAATTATATATATTTTATGAAAGATGACCTGTATTCACCTAACCTAATACTGTACTGTATTATTAATAATATTTAGATTACTGTACAGACCCTAAGTGAAAGTGATTCAAATAATTGGGACCCTTGTATTTGGTGCATGGTATGTTTCTTTTAATTTTACCCTTGAAATTCTACTGAAAGATAATGGGTTCAATAAAACAAATGAGAGGTGTTGCACAAATGTGGTTTGTGTTGATTGGTTTAGATATTAAAAAGGAAATATGTACCCCTGTATATTTTTTACTCCAATAGTTTGTACTGTACTGGGAGTGCTAGAGTGCTATCTGAATTGTCAATCCTTTATTTCTAGTTTTGTTTTTAAATTCATGTGGTTTATTTATTTATTTTTAGGAAGTACCAAACAACATACCTAACCCCATGGGGGTGGGTAATGTGCCAAAACCAGCTAAGAAGAATGCAAAAACTGTGGAAACAGTATACCAGAAGAAGACCCAACTTGAACATATTTTGCTCCGTCCTGATACTTATATTGGTAAGTATATTCATGTAATTGTTTCATTATACTGTATCATACATTTGATTCAGTTATCAACCTGAGGATTTGAGGCTACTGTACTGTACTTGACATTGAGGCATGGTAGGTTTACTTAATTTCGATCAAATTAGTGTGAGATGAAAGGATTAATACTAGAATTATATTATTTTACAATTACTGTACTCGCTTTTTCGTGATTTATTTTTCTCTGGGATGACGTGTTCGGGCGTCAGTGCCAGTTGGACGAGATTATCTTGGATATCAATATGCGTCACGGTGTGCTAGTGTTAACACTAGGGATCATTCACTCTTATGTGGTGGTTTGATTTAATGTAAATGAAATTTTTACATCATGATCAGACACGTCACTGTTGCATATATTTAATTTTCTCTAAAAGTTCCTGGTCAAATCACTTCAAATTTTAAATCCACTCGTGCATGGAATCAAGTTTTAAGGCTAGGCGGCAACTCGTCGACCTGTGGTGGACAGCACAGCCTCCAGTTAAGCGTCTGGCTCAGTAAGCGAGAGGTGTGTGTGTCCAGGGCGTGATTTAAAAAATGGCTACCGTGGTGTTTGCATCGCTATCTCCGAATATATATATAACATACATCCTCTGTATTTATTCTTATGAAGTGATAAAGTGATGTGTACTGAAATATTTTTACTGAAATAGAGAAATATTCTTTTAATTTGTGAGACATTGGTACAATGGCCACGTTGCCAAGTGGACGTTATCTCCAAATATTTATCAGTTACAACCTCGATATTTATTCTTATGAAGTGATAAAGTGATGTGTATTGCAATATTTATACCACACAAAACCATGTCATAATATGTATATAGACTCAGCTTAGAAAAATAATAAGTGATGGTAAAATGTACTGCAGTACAGGCAAGCATATGATGAACTATAATGAATATATTGGACTTATTCGATACGTATTTGTAGCGCCATTGCCATTGTCGTGCATATGTCAAGACCTACCTCGTCTCGGTGACAAGTGGAAACATTACTGTATTGCCATAATTTAAATTTTTTTCACAAACTTCTAACCGGTCTATTTCACTTCTTGGTATGTTTACAGTAATAACCCACCATAAAAAAAATACTTTCAAGATACTGCATTTCAACAAAAAACTAGCAAGGAAAAAAATGTGTATAAACATTTCAGTGACTGCGCACCTAACCACCATTTATTTTTACTTTTTATTCTGTAACCTCGTTACTTTTTTGACGTGTATTTTATACTGACTGATGCAACGATGTGGGTACAGCACGAAGAGGAATCAACAGTAAACTCACTTATCGTTTATACTTGCTAAAAGGGCTTTTGTTTATTATTTTATTTCATCTTATTTTTATGTAGGAACGCATCATTTGAATAAATATTTTACTATCTTGGCCACGAATAGCGCTCTGGGAAAAAATATCTTCTCCAAGATTTCTGATAATTCTTCGGGCTCCAAACATAGCGAGTCACACTCTCATTAAGTAAATTTCAGGTGATCCCGAGAGTGTTAATGAGGTGAAAATATTTGATAACTAGACCCTTTTTAATGCTTATAGATAGTTAACACTTATGATTCAATTTGTTTTAATTATTGTTTTTGTTTCCAGGTTCGGTAGAATATGCTACAGACATGATGTGGGTTTATGACAATGAAACAGAGAAGATTGTACAAAAGGAAATATCATATGTTCCGGGTCTCTACAAAATATATGATGAAATTTTGGTTAATGCTGCAGATAACAAGCAGCGAGATCCAAAAATGGACACCATTAAAGTGGACATTGATGCGTAAGTTAAAATCATCTACAAGAACTGTAGCTACAGTTGTGTACTGTACTGTACATGTTTTTTATTTTAATTTTGTTCATGGATAATCACACAGGAAAGGATATTCATAGTTGTCAAGGTTGTAATCCTTAGGAGTTCCAAGGTCAACTTTAAAGTTATAGTTTATTGGTTTATTGGTCTTATGTGTTTTTCTGTGATGGTTTAGACCCTTCAGCATGATAAATGGACTTCAATTGGGTTAGGTCACTCTTATTATAGATATATTTTTCACAGTTTTTCCACAAAGCTATATACAGGCAGTCCCCGATTTAAGAAGCTTTGGTCCTTGAAAAATAGAATTTGGGAATTTTTTCTTTTTTTCTGATGCCTTTATTGTGCCTTGTGTAGGGTGAGATGATCCTGTAGAGTGGTCACACTGCTACTACCTGTTAGTAGCTGGAGTTAATCACAGAAGTACACAAATAGTTGTTTTGGGGTAAGGTTTCAAATTCAAATTATCTTTTTTTTATTATAAAAAATAAATTATGCACAATTAAAGTGCTACAATACACCGTGAGCAGGTAGCTTAGGAGAGTAGGGAAGCGATTATAGGGAGCTTCAGTAAACACTAGCGATTTGTGTCAGATACTTTGGTGAACTGAGTGTAACTGTCTAGTTATTTGATGACTTAGGCTGGGCATTGGTGCAGAGAGGTCATTTGAAGGATATTGAGGCTACATGACATAGACATCACTTGCATCAGTATTACTAGACATGTGCTCATAGTTTATTTATTTTGGATGATATAAATATATAAAAATAATGTATGTAACCCAAATGTATATATTATTAGTCTATCAGACAGGAGCTAATACCATATTAGGAAATTACTCTTCATACAGTAATTTTGCAGCAAAAGTCACCCGCCATTTTTAGCTTCACTTACATCCCAAGGTTTTAATTGTCTTTAAGAACATTTAATTGTTATACTGTACTGTATCATCCAGTTTTTTGTGTTTCTTTGTTAAATATTGTATACTAAAATGTAGAAGCCAAGAAATTATAACTTTGATAAAACTGTAATAAAGATGAACAAAGAAAGTGACATTGAGGGCAGTAAAGGAGGAGTTGGAGGAGAAAAGAAATAAAAAGTAGTTTAATACAATTACAATTATCCAATTCAATAATGTATACATAACAGAATAAATGAGCTACTGTATTTATATTTGGTAAAAAATCAAGCATTCAATTACATAATTATAATGACAGATTTTTTTTTATATTAAAAAAAGTCAAACTGACTGAGGCACTAAAAGAGAGAGAGAGAGAGAGAGAGGTCTTATGTAAAGGGGGATCAAGTAGGGAAAAGTACAGTGTGTGGGTACAATAGGATGGAAACAATCTAGGGGGAATGACAAGAGATTAAGCTGACAATTACTGTAATGGCTGTAGACATGAATGAGTCTACATTTATGTATATGACCAATATGCATGGACTAAAATCCTTATCCACATGGGGATGAGAACAGTATTTGAATACTATAACTTTGATTTAATTTTGCATATTCTATTTTATCAGAGAAAATAACCAAGTGTCAGTATTCAACAATGGAAAGGGCATTCCTGTAGCAGTGCATAAAGATGAGAAGATGTATGTTCCGACCATGATTTTTGGTCATCTCCTGACTTCCTCCAACTACAATGATGAAGAAGAAAAGGTCACTGGTGGACGCAATGGCTATGGTGCAAAACTGTGCAATATCTTCAGTTCAAAATTTGTTGTTGAAACTGCTTCAATGGAATACAAGAAAACCTTTAAGCAGGTTAGTGTTAATAAAGTTAGCTGTGTCTTACATTCAAAGTAAAATTTATGCACTGTATGTGAAAAAATTTAAATTAAATTGAAATATGTTATAAAGTAAGTACTTTTATTAAAACAATTTATGAAGCAATTTATTAACTTCCTTGGTTTATTGACAGACTTGGGCCAACAATATGAGTAAAACCAGTGATCCAAGGGTCAAGGAGTTTAAAGGAGAAGATTATACGAGAATAACATTTTCTCCAGACCTTGGAAAGTTTAAAATGGAATCCCTAGATGGTGATATTATTTCCCTCTTGTCTCGCAGAGCATTTGATATTGCTGCTGCAACCAGAGGAGTAAAAGTGTTTTTGAATGGCAAGCGTATTCCAGTAAGTGTTCTTTATGAATTTTGAAGACTTGTGAAGTGTAATTATAATTTCGAGTACTACACCCTGTAATTGTGAAAATGCATAATTAAAATTTATTACTCTGTTAACAGCCCACAATATAGCCAGCTTCTATTTTCCACAGGTGAAAAATTTCAAAGATTATGTGGACCTGTACATTAAAGACAAGGTGGATGATGCTGACACTCCAATAAAAGCTGTGTATGAAAATGTCAGTCCGAGGTGGGAAGTGGCAGTTGCACTCTCAGACAAGGGTTACCAACAAATGTCTTTTGTAAACAGCATTGCCACTACTAAGGTATGTTTTACATGGAATGTCATTTTATTTTTAGTATTCTAATTTTGTTGAAGTGGTGTGGTTTTTTTTTTTTTTTTTTTTAAGTTAGTTTACTATTATTATTTGAATGGGGGGGGGAGTGAAAGTGGATTCCATAGGTCTTAAATCACTTCAGGGGAAGTTGAAAACAGCACACAATATTGAGGCAATGTGTTGATAATACTGTACTCTTGAGTATTGAGTTGCCAACTGTAATGTTAGTGACTATACACAGTTGAATGTGTTATTGATGTCTTTGTAGCAACCCAATTATCCTTAGGACAATGCGAGTGCTGTGCATTTTAATGGGTTTTATGTACAGTATCCTTTTCTTTCTAATCTATGTTTAGTCAACATCCTTAAGAATAATTGTCAAGATAGCTTCATCCCAATTCAGATGTATATTATTTATTTTGTTTATGTGAAACTCAGTCCGTGATCATCCAAAGTTCTTAATATTTCCAGAAACTTCAACTTGCAAGCCATTAAGTCATCACCTGTAAATGGGTTCTTAGACTTGTACCACTGTTATTAGATTGAGAATTATTGGTACGCCATTGTCCATATGTCCACATGCACTATGTGTCTCGATCTTCTTTACATTTCTTTTATTAGACTGATTTATTCTAATATCTTATTTATGCTTAAATTATAATGAAAAATTTTGATGGTGTAGAAAATGTATAACATTTAAAATATTAATGTTATTCATCATAATTTTTCAAATTAATTTAAATTGTTTAAAACTTATCTAGAAATAATTATTTATTTATTTATTTATTTATTTTTTATAAAGAAAATAGAAATCGGCGCATTTCTATATTACTTAAAACATAATTTATCAATAGAAGTACAGTAAAGCCCCGAATAACGATGGTAATGTGTCCTCCAATATTGCAGTGTAAGGTGAATCATCGTATCGTGAATCATTAATTACCATTAAAATAACCAATAATAATGAGATGCATTCCAAAGTCTAACCTTTTCATAACTTTTGTGTGGCTTTTCACCCTCTTTTCCCCCAAAACAACAGAATTAATGAAAAATGTAAACTATATTCTTTAAATATTGTTTATGAATGCACCTTATACATTACAAATAAAAAATAATATGTTCATACAAGAGGAGATGGGATGCCATTGTTGTTTCAGTGTTTACAGCCATAATGTCATTATTGGAGGCTTTCCTGTACTTTATTAACACTGAGCAATAGTTGCTATTTGAGTGAGTGGATGCTACCCCGGCCCTCTGATCGTTGAGGTGTCAAGGACAGAACAAAACATGTAACATATAATAAAAATGATGAAAATAATAAAATTGATTTAAAGAGATGAGAGAAGACACAGTGCCAGGCAATGGTAGATGATAATAAATTGTCATTTGAGGAACATAAATAACTATACAAAACATGATGAAGGGAAGAAGATTTAACACTTAACAGACCTGATTCAGCAAAACTTCTGCACTGCTGGGCTAGAAATCTCCTGTGTTGGTAGCATATAGTAATGAAAGGATAGCAAAGAAATTTAAGAAATGGAATGGTGTTACCTAGGCGATATGATCAGTGCTGGTGGTTGTGTTAAATCTAGTGCAGGAACCTCGCATCTTGATCCAACTGGTGTTCACTGCACAAGATTTACATCATATGAGTGTATGATTTTTGTTATATTTGTATTACTCTCCATAAAATTTATTTTTAATTTAACTAGGGGCTGATTACAGGCATTAGTCATAGTTAAGGATAACTTTGTTGAATATAAATAAAGAGGTCTGTTTAACCTTAAAATTGGCATTCCTTAAGTTTGTGATTAACAGACTTATGATTTCAGGGTGGACGACATGCAGATTATGTAACTGACATGATTGTGAAGAATTTGACAGAATCACTGAAGAAGAAAAACAAGAGTGGTGTCCAAATAAAACCATTTCAGGTGAATAGGCTTTATTTTATTTGGTTAGCTTACATTTAATTGTCATAAGAGGTTTAGAATAAGTGTTGCTACAGAAAGTACTATATACAGATGTGATTGAAGGGTTGGGACAAAATGCATTATGTGATATTGTATATAGGTGGTCAGTGACTACAAGAGTTCAGTATTCTAATGCAAATACGAATGCTTATAATTTCTATGAATATGAATATAATGAGACAGTGCCACTCCGAATACAAATATTTGGTAAAAAAAAAAACTTTTTATTGCTATAAATATTTTGTGATTCAGTATGTCAAACCTGTCCTGTGTAGATACAGCATGCCCTGACAATTCACAGATGACACCCTGGATGTACCCAAGAATGTCTTAAGGGTAGTTTTAAAGTTGCTGGCATTTTTGCGGCTGGGACAGGGAGCCATTTGCTCTAGAGACAGTAATTTTTTTACCTGTATTGCATGTGTGTGTAGACACACACACACACAAAATGCATACAAATAAATAAATAATAATGGGAAACTACTCTCAAATAATAAAAAACTAAAATATTAAAAATGTGAGAGTCTACCCTCAATTTAACTCCGTGCTTCGTTGTTAATAACAAAGTATTGAGTTGACTTGAGGGTAGACTCACATTTTTAATACATTTGTTTCTGATTCGTATTTGTGAGAGGATTTCCCATTATTATTAATTTATTTAGTTGTATGTGTTTTGTGTGTCTGTGTCTACACATACACATACCGTATATACTCGTGTATAGTTCGAGTTTGTAAGACCAAATTTTTAGGCAAAAAATTGGGGGTCGTCCTATACATGCGTAATAGTTTTGTTAGGTTGAACCCGTGCATGATGGGAAGGGCGAGGAGCAACTTTTAGCTTCAGACATGAAAAATATTTACCATTTACTGCCAGTAAACAATGGTAACGTAAACTATATACCAATTAGTAATGAAAAGTTGTGCAGTTCCTTCAGTAAATGAAGCTCACCAACTTACAATAGGCTAAATTACCTTACAACGTGCTTTCAGTAGTCTATGTTGAAGTTCTTAGCACAGGGTAACTTATCATATCATATACGGTATCACAGTTCTCATTGATCTATAAAAAATACCGGTATTAAAAACCTTTTCGATATTTCACACTTAATATAATATCCGGTAATCTACTTCAACCTCCTATTGTTTACAACGACGCATCACCAGCTGTATCAGCTAGACGTTACACGTGTTTTTCGAATCGTTTTCAGTTAAAAAACTGTTACATCACATGTATATTTTACCTAAACTGCGCCTGAATGAATATATTCTCAGAAATAAATAGTGGTTTTGCTGAAACGTGATGTATTTTAATGTAAAATAGGATAAAATACACGATGAAAACTATTTTAACTAACCTTCCGATGTTCAAGAGAAGTTACTCGTTTTTTTAATAGTTTTTGGTTAAAATATTGTTATATTACAATGGTATTCTATTCATACTGTGCTTGGTATAATGCATTCACGGAAATGTAATATTTTTGCTGAAATGACGTACGTATTACAGTGGAAAGTGGGATAAAATCGTGACAAAAGCAATGACTTTTGCTTTCTTTCGTTCAAAAGATGTTACCGTAATCGCTTTTCGAATGGTTTTCAGTTAAAAAACTGTTGTATTACGATAATATTCTATCCTAATTGACTTAAATAAATACTACGATACCATATTTCTGAATATTTTCATTAAAATCCATCAAAATCATTTTCCTTGTCATCGTCTGCAGCACCAAACAGCTTCTCCCAGTCCTCTCCTTGAACAGGGCTACAGGGTATGTGTTTTTCAAATCATTTTCAGTTAAAAAACTATTACATCACACATATATTTTACCTAAACTGCGCCTGAATGAATATATTCTGGGAAATAAATAGTAGTTTTGCTGAAACGTGATGTATTTCAATGTAAAATAGGATAAAGTACATGACGAAAACAAAAGACTTTACCTAAGCTTCTGTTCTTGAGATGTTACTCGTTTTTTTAATAGTTTTCGGTTAAAATTCTGTTACATTACAATGATATTCTATTCATACTGTGCTTGATATAATACATTCGCTGAAATGTAATATTGTTGCTGAAATTACGTGCTTATTACAATGGAAAGTGGGATAAAATCGTGATGAAAGCAATGACTTTCGTTCAGAAGATGTTACCGTAATCGCTTTTTGAATGGTTTAGTTAAAAATCTGTTGTAGTACAATAATATTCCCTCCTAATTGACTTGAATGGAAATATACAATATATTTGTTGAAACTACCCGCGTTTCAGTGTAAAGTGTCGTAATAATAAATGGTAAACAATTTGCCTTCGGCACTCGTGTTTCAGGCACGGCGAGCCTCAGTTTATAGGATGTAGAGCATTTTTAGTGAAGGTTTTGTTGTTCCATTACCCTCAAAAACATGGGTCGAACTATAAACGAGGAATATCGTAAATTAACGATTTCTTGGTCAAAAAATCAGGGACGACCTATAAACGAGGGGGGGTTATAGACGAGTATATACGGTATATACAATAATGTACATGTAAAAGAAATAATTGTCCTAAGGGCAAACACAAAAGGGGAATATGCATTATTTCTTTGCACATGTTTTCTTTTTCTCCATGTATCCAAAATAAATTCAGCAGCCAAGTGTATAGTTATTTCTATCAATAAAACAATTATTCATCATCAGATTATGCTACAAATATGAATATTTTGCCCGAGGTTTCAAATAGAATGCAAATGCAGGTACTGTACTGTACTTGGATTTCTATTAGTAATGTATTCGAATACGAGTACCCTGAAATGCTATACAGTATTTGAATGCATTAGAATACGAATACACCACCCCTGTGGGTGGTTGTGTTATGGCTTCGTTAACAAATAGAAATTTGGTAAAAAAAAAACTCAAGTTGGCACTTCATAATTATATCAACGGTAATATTAAATGGTATTTACAGATCACTTAATACTGTATTTGAATTTAAATTACTGTATATAAGCTCAAAGTACTAAGAAAATGATTTGTGTGCGAGTTATTGCTGAAGAGGAGCAGGGTAAAGAATGTTTGTTATGAGATGGAAAGTATAAACCGAAAAAGCAAAATGTATAAAGAAAATATTTTATGCTGAGTTGAAAAGAGTGGAAATGGCCAGCAACAGTGTGGGGGGTAGTGTGGGTTTTGTGTAACTGGCAGAGCGCTTTTCATGATGTGCTTATATTTTACTGAGAACTGGATCGACTACATCAACAAAATTCACTGATGTTAATTTGATTGTGATGATCATTATTTTATGGCCATTTTCCACACTTGTTAAGTTTAACCAAGGATTTGTTTTATATATTTATTCTTGTATTCTTTCTTCAACGTGTAGTAGAGCCCATTGTACTGAGGATTTTTGATGTATGTTCACTTAAGTGTGTGTGTGCATGTGGGGACAGAAAGTGTATGTGCATGTGGGGACAGAAAGTGTATGTGCATGTGGGAGACAGAAAATGTGTGTGTGTGTGTGTATGTGGGGACAGAAAGTGTGTGTGTGTGTGTGCGTGTATGTGGGGATAGGAAGTGTGTGTGTATGTGCATGTAGGGACAGATTTATCCCTTCTTGGGAAATTTCCAGCAAAGTGTTCCTTGCTATCTTTGCTATGGATGTGCTTTCATGCTTTCTTCACCAAGCATATAGCTGAATTTTGAACATTGATGCAAATGCTTTTAGTAGGGATAAGTTGTTAGATGATGAGTCCTATTCATGTATTTGTTCTCTGGGGAATAGTTGTATGGTGGGTTTTTTTTTAATATGACCAAAAAGTGCAAACTCCCACCACGGTATTTGTGCTGCCCATCACTCGGGAAGAATCCTATCAGAATGCTTTTTCAATATAACTTGCCTTCCTTTTCATAAGCACTGTATGATAAAAAAATTAATTTTTATAGGTTTTATGGAATTAGTCTTTATTTTTCCTTTGTTTAGCAGGGCTTGTTTGTTTTCTTGTTTATATCAGATCCTAAACCTTCTCCAATTCAGTTATCTGTTTTATCTCGGATATTGGGCAGACTGACAGCTTTCTGTCTTAATTTTCATTAATATAATCTTAGTTATGAATATTTTAGGGCTACTTTGTTTCTCTGGTCTTAGAAGGAATATACAGTAGATAAATTTTAAGTTTGGTGATTCACCAATGGCTTTATTGGGTTTTTTTATTTAGTTTTCCTTTCTTGGTAATTCTTTCATTTTTTCTGGCCTGTATGTGATGTATGCAATTTACATGGAAATATTTTCAATTGAATTGTCTCTGGCAGTACATTGTCATCCATTAGTGATTGGCACTCTGGATTTTGATGGGTGTTTCCTGGAGATACCAAAACATCACCTTATCTGTATGGTAAGAGGGTTCGTGAATCTCAAACTCCCAACCTTGTAATGATAATACAGTGGGGTATGCTATAACGAATGGATCCTACTACGAATATTCCTATAACGAACGGTTTTACCTATAAAATTGAGAATGCTATAACGAACGCAACTCCTACAACGAACGCGGATGAATACGGGACTATTTCGCCTGGCGCATGAATATTGTTGTACCGCGACCCACAACAAGAGCGTCAGGCGCCATCTTTGTCTCATTGTGTAGCCAATGCACCACTGTTATTGTTGAAATTTCGTCTTTTGATGTGGAAATTCGCGTTATTTGTATAACTATTTTGTTATACAAGTATACAATTGTAACAATGAGTCGTCCAAAGCGAGTGAGAAAGCTAATAACCCTTGAAACTAAGAAAGAAATTATAAAGAAACGTGAGAATGGAAGAAGCATTGCGAAACTTAGTGATGAATATGGGATGGCTAAATCGACTATATGTACGATTTTGAAGAATAAAGAGGAGTTAAAAACTGTACAAGTGGCTAAGGGAATCTTTAGACTTAGCAAAGCAAAGTGTAATGTGATTGAAGAGATGGAAAATTTACTCTTAGTGTGGATAAAGGAGAAAGAAATGGCAGGTGAAAGCATTAGTGAAGCTATAATTTGTGAGAAGGCTAAACAATTGTTTGAGGACCTTAAAGCCAAGACTCCCAGTGGAAGTGATAGTGATGTGCCAGTGTTTAGGGGTACCTGCATGCTGAATAACACTAAGGTAAGATAAAGTACCGTATTTTTTACATTTTCCACAGAATTTTTAGTGTTAAGTGGTTGTATTTGGGGGCCTGGAACGGATTAATCCTATAACGAACGAATGCTATAACGAATGAGGTTCTGGAACCAATTACGTTCGTTATAGCATACCCCACTGTAGTTCATTTTCCTTTGGGGGTATATGTTACTCCAGACCTTGGAGTCTTTGTTGTGTGACTTCCTTCCTCTTGTTGTCAGTTGGTTTATGATTACAAGAGCTGTTTGGCATTAAGGCATTGACCAGAAGTGGAGAATTCTTTCTGAAATTTTTTTTTCTAGTTAAGACTTTAATTAGGTGGCATTGAAACCCTTCCTTCACCCAAAGGTTCATGATTAGTCAGCAGGAATTGAATAGTTATATGGTGGATTGGCCTGAATTAAAGATGGCACTCGGTAACATTGACATGCAATGTGGAGATTGGACAGGTGAGACCTCCATCAGTTGAGGGCAACTACTGCACCTCGTCATCCTCCTTTGGGGCCACTGGTGAGGTGAGGAGGAAAGGGTGGAAGATATATCTAAAATGAGATAAACATGTTAACTTTGCCTGGCATTATGGGGGCTTGTCTGAGGATATAGAATCATCGTAATAGCAGTGAATGTAGAGTCACCTAGTGACATTCTGCCAGAAATGGGGAATTCAAGATCAATATTCTACTTTTGTGTCATTAATATATATATATATACGTATATTTTTTTATACTTATTACTTTTTAGTAATGCAATGTTTATGAAGATTGGCATCTTATAATTATATTTTAATACGGGCCAGAACACATGAAGAGAGATTTGTGTACTTAACACTCTTGCTCCTTGCAAATGTTAAATTAATTTCTAGCCTGACAAGGATAAACTAAAACTGAATAAACTGTTGCCCAAAATAGAAATAGCTAATTGATATGTGTTTAGTACTGCTGCAGGTAGTCCTGTTTAATACTGCTGCAGGTAGTCCTGTTTAGTACTGCTGCAGGTAGTCCAGATTGTAGTGTTTTTCATGGTTTAGCAGATTATTAAGTGTAAAAAGTTGATTTATATGTTTATGCTTGCATTGATACTTATTGTACTTTTCATTTAATATTTCAGATTAAGAACCACATGTGGGTATTTGTAAACTGCCTAATTGTCAATCCCACATTTGATTCACAAACGAAGGAGAACATGACCCTCCAGACAAAAAATTTTGGTTCCAAGTGTCAGTTGTCAGAAAAATTCACTGCTGGTGTTATAAAATGTGGCATTGTAGAAGCTGTGATGTCTTGGGCAAGGTTTAAGCAGCAGGCTCAGCTGCAGTCAAAATGTGCTAGCAAGAAACAGACCAAGTTGAAAGGTTAGTTTATTCTGTTGATTTTTCCTTTAATATTGTAACAAGGCTTCTATTTATAATGTATTGCTTGAGAACTTCATATTACGTTCTAAGGCGTGTAGTGAGTGCCTTATAACATTCTCAGTCTAGATAAGCAGTAAGTACAATATTTGAAAAACAACTGTTGTTGATATCTTAAAAGCTAATAACTTGTTTCAAGTATTTGTTTTCAAATTACTATTCTATCTATCAAGTATTGAGTGCATACCAAACAGTTAGGAAGCCTTTAGGTAATTTATATAGACCAAATTACACTGCATATATGCAATTTTTTTTTTACTATTTATTTAGGCGGGTAATCAATATAATTACTGTACAAAGTAGTTTGTAAAAGTTTTGTTTGATTTTGTACTGTTCAGTACAGTAATACCTTGCTTAGTACTCATGAGGTGTTCCTGCTGAGAAGAGAGTGCTAAATGTGTAGAAGAGATGTGCATTGAGACACCCACGCACAGAAGCTCAGCACCTTAGATAGTAAGTATATATATATATATATATATATATATATATATATATATATATATATATATATATATATATATATATATATATATATATATATATATATATATATATATATATATATATATATATATATGTACAGTGGGGTATGCTATAACGAACGGATCCTACTACGAATATTCCTATAACGAACGGTTTTACCTATAAAATTGAGAATGCTATAACAAATGAAACTCCTACAACGAACATAATTTAAATTTTTTTTTTCTAATTTATTGTTTTATTATTACAAATATTAATGATATTCTTTATTTCAGGGGTTTAGATGCATATTTATGCACTTTTTTACAATTTTTACAATTTTATATTATATTTTTCAGTGTTAAGTGGTTGTATTTGGGGGCCTGGAACGGATTAATCCTATAACAAACGATTGCTATAACAAACAAGGTAACACACACACACACACACACTCTCCCATGGGTGACATGAATGGTTCATATGGGTTACTGGTGAACAACGTTACAGTAAAGTACTGTATTTATTAAACTAATTGAACACATTTTTGTCTTGTAATAATGGCATCAACCCCTGGCATGAAAGTCGGTGAGAGATACAGGGTATCACATGGCTATGCCCTGGGTGAGGTGAATCCATTTCTTCACTAAAATGAGTAGAAAAGGCGGCCTGTAATGTTGAGAGAGGTGGTGGTGATGATTGAGATTATGATATGAGGTGGGAGAGGTGATATACTTGTTTCTTTGGTAATTGGCTGCTGCTCTGACAAGCACTATTGATCAGCTGATGCTTACAGCCTCAAATTTGTCATTATCAACTTTTTCTTTAAATTAGTGAGTAGAGTGTATGTATATATAAAGCCAATGTCTACATAATACTTTTGCTTTTAAGGTATTCCAAAATTGGAGGATGCCAATGATGCAGGAACCAAATTCTCGTCTGATTGTACACTAATCTTGACTGAGGGAGACTCTGCCAAAACTCTGGCTGTGGCAGGCCTTGGAGTAGTGGGCAGAGATCGTTATGGTGTTTTCCCTCTTAAGGGTATGTAGTACAATATATATGTATGTATATATATATATATATATATATATATATATATATATATATATATATATATATATATATATATATATATATATATATATATATATATATATATATATATATATATATTATTTTTATTTATTTATTTTTTTTAACATTTGTGTGTGTGTACTGTATTTCAAAATATTTTTTTATTTTGTATTACAAGAATTCTCGTAAATATTTATAATAGTTATTGTTGTAAGATAGAGATATTTTCATATAATTATTTTACTTCCAGGAGTTAAATAACTTGACCGTAATGAAGATGTATATTCTCTTTAAAGGTAAGCTGCTGAATGTCCGTGAAGCATCACACAAGCAAATTTTGGAAAATGCAGAAATTAATAACCTCATCAAGATCTTGGGTTTGCAGTATAAAAAGAAATATGATTCTCGTGATGATATGAAGACCTTGCGCTATGGCAAGTTGATGATCATGACAGATCAGGATCAGGTGTGCATTAAGTGTATATACAGTATATTGAAAGGTTGAAGGTAAGAGATTAAATGATCATGATGAGAGATTTAAATTAGAGAATGTACGGGATTTGCTTATGGGCACGACATTGGATATTATGGTGCCGTTAGATGGTATGGGGTTGGACGTAATATTGTAATGTAAATTGAATGATTTGGAAATATTGAGAGATACCATACATGACATGTGTCATTTAGTAGAAGCAAGAATAATAATAATAGTCATCATCATTATTGTTTTACGGCCATTTTCCATGCTTGTGTTGGTTAGCCGTGGTCACCTGATGGCAGCTTTCCATGCTTGTGTGGTCTCTATCAAGTTCCTAACTCTAATGTCATTTCTTGCAACCTCCCCCCATGTCATTCTTGGCCAAGCCCTAGCTCTCCTGCCCTCAACATTTAGGCTCCTGCATCTCTTGACCCAATCGATGTCATCATTCTCTCCACCTGCCCAAACCACCTCAACCTTCCTCTATGCAGGACTTCACCAATACTCTCAATACCCAGCTGCCCTCTTAGCTCTGAACAGGGCCTTTTGTCTTTCAGTGTCATGTTACTCATCCGCATCACCATTCTAATTTCAGCTCGCTCAAGTCTTGTGTCATCCTCTTTAACTGCCTATGTTTCACTGCCATACAACATCACACTTTTCACATCAGATGCATGCATTCTTTCTTTCACTCGGAGGAAAGGTCCTCTTCCCGTCAATAAAGGCAGCAGCTCCCCAAACTATCTCCAGCCACTTCTGACTTACAACTGAGCAGGCTTCAGCACTCCCACCGGCATTGGTCATGTCACCCAGGTAACAGAACTCATCGCCACAGTCCAGGAACAATCCCCAATGTTGAGTTTCTGCACATACAGAACACTTAATTAAGAGTCAGTAACATCCTGCAGTCTGCCATCTACGCCACTGAACTTTTTGTGTACCCACCTTCCACACTCAAAGCACATTATTGAGTTGCTGTCAACACCTTTCTTGCAGATAGCACATGACCATTTTTCACTTTTTTCCCATGGTTCCCTCACCTACACCACTAATCAGTACTTTTGTTTTTGTCACATACACTTTCAGGCCCTTTGCCTCTATCTGCTACAGGTTGACAACCCTTTATCCGAAAACCGAAAAGCTCTAAAAACCGCAAGTTTTTTGTGGGGCTTTTTTTTTTTTTTTTTTTTAACAGGGATTATTAGCCCAGCCAGGCATAGATCACTGACCCACATCGGGGCCTGGGGGCAAAATGTAATAGTAATAATAATTATAATAATATTATTCATAGTAAATAAAATTTTTAATAATTATACACCAAAATAAAATAATAATGATTACAATACAGGTTGTACCTCTCTAGTCCGGCATTCTGTGGTCCGGAAACTCCCGTGGTCCGGAACGATTTTAGTTTGTCCAATAGGTAGATAGGCAGTTTTTTTTTTTTTTTTTTTTTACTTATCTGGATATTATTATTATTACAGGGATTATTAAATTTTGCCCCAGGCCCCAATGTGATCGTGACTCTTCGGTGAACTAATCTACTAAAAAAAAAGCCATGAAGATAAGGTTTTGTTTACATCCGACAGTTCGGCTGCACACACACACACACACACTCTCTCTCTCTCTCTCTCTCTCTCTCTCTCTCTCTCTCTCTCTCTCTCTCTCTCTCTCTCTCTCTCTCTCTCTCTCTCTCTCTCTCTCTCTCTCTCTCTCTCTCTCTCTCTCTCTCTCTCTCTCTCTCTCTCTCTCTCTCTCTCTCTCTCTCTCTCTCTCTCTCTCTCTCTCTCTCTCTCTCTCTCTCTCTCTCTCTCTCTCTCTCTCTCTCTCTCTCTCTCTCTCTCTCTCTCTCTCTCTCTCTCTCTCTCTCTCTCTCTCTCTCTCTCTCTCTCTCTCTCTCTCTCTCTCTCTCTCTCTCTCTCTCTCTCTCTCTCTCTCTCTCTCTCTCTCTCTCTCTCTCTCTCTCTCTCTCTCTCTCTCTCTCTCTCTCTCCTCTCTCTCTCTCTCTCTCTCTCTCTCTCTCTCTCTCTCTCTCTCTCTCTCTCTCTCTCTCTCTCTCTCTCTCTCTCTCTCTCTCTCTCTCTCTCTCTCTCTCTCTCTCTCTCTCTCTCTCTCTCTCTCTCTCTCTCTCTCTCTCTCTCTCTCTCTCTCTCTCTCTCTCTCTCTCTCTCTCTCTCTCTCTCTCTCTCTCTCTCTCTCTCTCTCTCTCTCTCTCTCTCTCTCTCTCTCTCTCTCTCTCTCTCCTCTCTCTCTCTCTCTCTCTCTCTCTCTCTCTCTCTCTCTCTCTCTCTCTCTCTCTCTCTCTCTCTCTCTCTCTCTCTCTCTCTCTCTCTCTCTCTCTCTCTCTCTCTCTCTCTCTCTCTCTCTCTCTCTCTCTCTCTCTCTCTCTCTCTCTCTCTCTCTCTCTCTCTCTCTCTCTCTCTCTCCTCTCTCTCTCTCTCTCTCTCTCTCTCTTTCTCTGTGCTTGTCTATACAGAGTACAACATTTAACCCTTAAATATATATATGAGCAGTAAATAAGTGTTGCTTTCATATTCTTATGTAAGTAATAACGATATATTTTCACATGTCTTACATCACGAGCAGTCTCACTTTTTTTAACATTAATGGTTAGCTACTTATATTGTTATTTATTAACATTAAATAACATTACAGGTACTTCAAGCAACCATATTCATTTTTTTGCATTAATTTTACTACAGCTTCTCAGGGTCTTATTTTCTTCAGTTTTTATATGTAGAACCAATCAGTCACTAGCAATGCGTAATGGCTTCTAG